AAAAAAAAAAAAAAAAGATTTAAAAAAGAATCAAATCGCCGTTATAACATCAATTTTATAAGCCCTCAGTAACAGTAGCTCTGAAAAGTGGTTATTGACAAACACCCAATATTTTAAAGAAGTTAAAGATATCATATATACATGCGAGAAAACAAGACTACAGCTTCATTCTGAGTGGATCTTACTCATATTTGCATCCTTAGATTCCAGGGCCATGCCAGGAAGACAGAGGACACTGAACAAATCGTTTTACAGTGGTTTCCAATCATAGATGGTCAGATACAGAAAGGCTGGCTCTGGGGCTTGGGATCAGAGGCTTCCTGTAGATGTCTGACCCTGGGAGATTTTATTTGGTAGTTTAACTTTTACTTCACATTCTATCAAGCATGACCAAGAATATATATATTGAATTATCTGAGGACAAGTAAAGAAGTACTAAAATATTTTTGTTTGGGCTTCTATTATGGAAAGAGAATTTAAAATCAGAAGGACAATAAAAAATAGGAACCCAAGAGTTTATTTTTTTTGAGACAGAGCCTCAAGCTGTCACCCTGGGTAGAATGCTGTGGCTTCACAGCTCACAGCAACCTCCAACTCCTGGGCTTAAATGACTCTCCTGGCTGTATCTCCCAAGTAGCTGGGACTACAGGCCGACCACAACACCTGGCTATTTTTTTGTTGCAGTCATCATTGTTATTTGGTGGGCCCAGGCTGGATTCAAACCCACCAACTCAGGTGTATGTGGCTGGCGCCCCAGCCACCTGAGCCACAGGTGCCGAGTATGGAACCCAGGGGTTTAAAGGTAAAAACAAGTCAGGACAGTGGCTCATGCCTAGAATCCCAGCACTTTGAAAAGCTGAGGCAGGAGGTTTGCTTGAGGTCAGGAGTTTGACACTAGTCTGAGCAACATAGTGAGATCCCTTCTCTAGAAAAAGTAGAAAAATCAGCCAGGCATGGTGGTGTACATCTAAGTCTCAGTTACTTAGGAGGCTGAGGTGGGATTACTTGAGCCCAGGAGTTTCAGCTAACAGTGAGCTACAATGATGCCACTGCACTTTAGACAGGCAACAGGGCGAGACTGTCTCCAAAAAAAAAGTAAAAACACCATTCCTTTACTTATTGCTTCTGTAGTATAATCAGTAAATCGCTTACTGTGACTATTTTCTTCTAGGTTCTCAGAATGCTTCTCTCTCTCCATTTTTTCTGAGCAATTTAGTCATTGAGAGTGACAGGTATGGACCCTAGGACCACACACTAACACAGCAAGAATCCAAGAGGAAGGCCAGCCCTTCCTCTCTGGAAAAAATTGACAGATATTTCAAATATGATCAGTATTCCCATAGGCATTGTAGTGACATTCTGTACATAAATCCCCTTTACTCTATAGGCCAGTCAGACGCAGACACATAGTGGCTACTTTTCCTCCTACTGCCCTTCTTTTTATAAAAGGGTTGGCTCACTGGTCACACTTTACTGTCGCGTTTGCTTGGCTCCACAGCCAGCCCTTCTCCTATGTATATGAAGGCACATACTCTGTGAAATTGCCGCTCTTCTACCAGTAACAATCTGTTTTTCATGGTGAAACACCAGCATTTTGCTATTTCAAGAATGACTGAACTAATTCGAAAAAGAATGTTTAGGCTTGGTGCCTGTGGCTCAAGTGGCTAAGGCGCCAGCCACGTACATCCAAGGTGGCGGGTTTGAATCCAGCCCGGGCCCGCCAAACAAC